GCCGGGCTGCACTTCTGAGCGCCGGCCGCCCCGCGGTGTGTCCGGTGCCACGGAGCATAAACCTGTAAAGTTTAGTTCAATTTTCAGTTATCTTGTTGCCGGTACTCTAGGGCAGTGAAGGAAGTTTGACTAAACACTTGAATTAATAATTGAGTTCTCTGTTAAGCGTGTATTCAGAGATGAAAGTCCGTTTTGATACATATATATATAATTCCTGCCTCCTGTTTTCTGGCAAACTGCTTTGTTTACAAAACCCAGTTTTTTTCTCCTGGTTGTTTAGAAAGAAGTCTGAATTATTCCTTGGCAACAGTAGCTTACAAAGAATAATTTCCTTAAATGTAGTTACTAACCAGCTTAGAGGAAAACAAATTTTAAACATGTATATTTTATGTTGAATTTTATTCTTCTTACTAGTGTTTATTTGTCTGTGCAGGTACACGGGTCCCCTGCTGGAGGAGGAAGCCTTGAACAAAGCAGCAGAAAATGGATTGTCTTCACCAGAATTTTTTGAGCTTTGTGTTTGGTTAGGTTCCCAAATAAAGTCACTTTGTAATATGGAGGAGAGCATCACTTCAACAGATGGTATATGAATGTTAATTTATTAATGCAATTTAGTATTTTTTTTGGTGGATTTAGACCCATATTGTTCAGCTAATACTGAAGTTGCAGTGTTGACGTTTACAAGATAACTGAAAGGTGGCCAAACTGAGGTTGATATTTGTGTGTATGTAGCTCTTAGATTAAGGTCTTGTCTTGTGCAGATTCTTTCAAAAGTAAAAAAAGAAGGTGCCTTTGGGTGGTTTTAGAAGGTACATTGACGCATGTAATCATATTTGATGGCTTAAATTCCAGTGCCTGCTATTTCAACCTGTTGGTCCAATGCAGCATTCCATTCAGCACTGTGTGTAGATACACGAGGTGCTCAGTAGTGCTACCTGATAATATCTGTTGAGTATTGGAATTTGGATGAGATTTTATAGTTTTCATGTTGTCACCAGAAAGGTAGTAAAACTGAAAACAAGCACTGAAAATAATGGGGTCACAACTCCTGTAACTTCTTCATCAGAAAATTAATTACATTGACTCACGATCTTGTCATGTAAATGGTTTGCTTCCTAGTGATGTTCATTTGCATTCATGTCCTCAGAGATTGCTGTAGCATCACCTTCTCATTCAGAAGACAACTGCAATATTGGTGTAGGTATTACAAGCCTTATCCGCTTGTAAGACTTTTTTAAGAAATAAAGTGTTACACGAGTGGTAGATAGTGAATCTTTGTCTGAACTATTGAAATCTGCAATTGAAGTTTATTAGTTAAGAAAATTATATTACAGTTTGATCTTTCTGCATTTATTCCCATAGGTGTTAAAGACATAGAGAGTTTCCAGCTTGAGATTAGTGGCTTTCTGAGGGAAATGTCTTGTCCGTATTCATCACTTATATCTGGAGACATCAAGGACAGATTAAGAGAGAAAGAAGATTGTCTTAAACTCCTCTGTAAGTAATAACCATTTTTCCCATTTATGATACAATACTTTGCAGGCATGCTTTATTGTAACTGCATCATTTACATTAAAGAGTTCTTTGTGTGTTTTTAAGTTTATGTGGACAATCGTTAGAGCCTACTGAGCATACATCAGCTTACTTGTGCAGAAGTGGAAAATAGAAAACTATTAGAAAACTGCTTTGGTAGAAACTAAAATTTCTTTTTGAAGTGTGGTTCAACCTACTGAGGCCTCCTGATCCCTCTCTTGATCCAGTTCCAGCTCACCTAAGCTGGGACATACTTCCCGTGTTTCTGAGAGGTTTCTGGGCATGCTGGAAATGCTGTGTGATTGGAAGGTGCTGTAAGCAGGATTGAGAGAAGCAGAGTCTAAGTTTAAGGTGGACTTAGAGAAGGAGCGGCACCAGGAACCGATGTGATAACATGAAACTAGTCAAGGAACTGTGGGTCTGGCAATGGAAGTGAGTTGAGTAGTTAAACGCAATGTGTAGACTGAAGGTAGGAGGTCAGGTGAGAGTGAGTTTAGATAAATAATGGGAAACTGATACTGACATGTCCAGGAGAGGACTGAGAAAGAGTCTCCCATTTATTGTGGTTGTCTTATTAATGTATATAGTATAGCTGTATATGAGAATGTGGATGTGGAAATATTTAAATATCTCTAAATCTGCCATTGTGATGCTTTTCTCTGCAGTATTTCTAAGTACAGAACTTCAGGCTTCAAAGATATTGCACAACAAGAAAATAAAAGGCTCTCATTTGGAAAAGCACAATGAAATCAATCGGGAAGTGCAAGCTATTTGTGATGCACTGGGTCTGCCAAACTCTTTGTCTTCTGGTATTCTTCCTTTGTTAACCACTGTGGAACAAAAGGTATGGGCTTTTATGTGTTCCCTCTATTGCTGAACTGTAAGCATTATCTCTGTAAGCATTCATCCTAGGGTTAAGGGCCCAGCAGTCTCATCCATAAAAGCCCAATCTGATGAGTGCAAAGAAATTCTTGTTCTGAAAGCCAGTTTAGTGTTTAAATTGGTTTAGTTATGAGGTGAAGTATTTCAGCATTTCCCTGATGTAGTGATGTACCTGCATGGAGACCTCATAGCAACTTTTCTGTATCTGAAGGGGCGCTACAAGGGAGGTGGGCAGTGTCTGTTTGTTAGGAACTGCAATGATAGGACAAGGGGTAATGGATTCAAACTGGAGGAGAAGTTTAGGTTAGATATTAGAAAAATGTTTTTTACTATCAGAGTGGTGAGATGCTAGAACAGGTTGCCCAGGGATATGGTGGCTGCCCCAGCCCTGGCAGTGTTCAAGGCCAGGCTGGATGAGGCCTTGAGCAACCTGATCTAGTGGGGAGGTGTCCCTGCCCATGGCAGTGGGGGTTGGGACTAGATGATCTGTAAGGTCCATTCCAACCCCTAAGATTCTATGATATGATTGTGATGAGGCATACTTTGCTATCCAAGTTTAGGGTGTGAGTTGAAGTGACATAGTTTTTATCTTACCCATTCAAATGTGTGGCAGCAAGCAGAAGGCTTTGGGTAATAACTGATGGTGCATTTATGTACCTGTACTCATTCCTGGCGTGTATCTAAATTTAATATCCAAAACTTAAATCAGTTCTTTTTAGTTTATTAATTTCTTAATTGCAAGTATTGATTTGTTATTGCCATTTCCTTTGTTGCAGAAGCAAATGAAAATGCCTGAATTGCCAATAATCAGTGAACAATCCAACTTTTAACTTTATTCAACAGGATAGTTCTTTCTGTTGAGTTCCACCAAGTTCAAACTCATTTCACTGATGTGATCCTTAATCTTACTTAATTTCCTTACTGCAGAATATAAATAAATAGGCTCTTGAGATGGAGTATATCTTCTTAGACAGTCAAAGGTTTTGCTCATTGTTTGTCTCTAGATTTGGGGAGAGAGTGGGTGACTGATCCCCCTTAGTTGGGGGGGTTAAAACTCTCTCTGCTTCTGAGTCTTTGAGCTTAGTAATTTTCCATGGTTATGCTGTTTTCTTCCTCATCAGCCCGTGGGCAATTGAACATTCAGATATGTTGGGGAGAGAGCCTGTTACTAGCATGGTTTTCTTATATCTCTATGTTTTGAGTTTGACAAAAACAAACAAGTGTTTTCAGTCTATTTTTGGAGAATGTGTGAATTTGCAAAGCAATCCTATAAATATTTAGTGTTACTGAGGTCAATGAGTGTATCAAATAATCAAATATACTCATCTCCATCTAGTTTTAATTATCTGGTTTGCTTTTTACAGCTGAGTGTGTGGAAACTTTAGGATGATTTGGCTGTTACAATTTGGTTTACATTTTTTAGTATGTTTTCACGGCTCTTTTGTCTAGGCACTGCCTTTTGGTATTGTTCCCACTTAGAGAATTCTTCCTGGGTTGCGTTGGTTTTTTAAAATTCCTGCTTATCCTTCTTAGTCTAGAGAAACTGTCATGTTTAGGAATGTGGGTTATAGCACAGATTTTCACATCTGCTGTATTCCTGTCCTCTGGCAGACAGGTGTGTGTCCAAGTTCTTGTGCTTGGAGCTCTGTCATCCGCCAAGGCTGGGCAATGTATTCTGCCGTTGTAGACAGCTCATCTTATTTCACTGTCAGAGTAGTAGGATTTCCTCATGAGCTGTGCTGATGGGAGTAGGGAATAAAGTGGAGATTCAGCAATCTGGCTATGACTTTACAGTGTGTAATAAACACTAACATAGAGGGAAAAGATCCCTCCTTAATTTGTGACCTGATTCTTAAACCTGTACTGGATAAAAATTACATAGGCATTCTCTTTTAACTCGGAAAGAAAAGTTTGTGGAAATTTTGGAGCAGTCAATTAAGGATTGTTTCATTTACCTGTTCTTGTTTCTTCTAGTTCTGATTTTCACTGATTATCTTCCTTAATTGTTACCTCTAAACTCCCTTTCATTTTTCAGTTTATGGAAATTAGGACTATGCGGTGCTGATTGACTTGTGATGGCAGAATGCATGGCTTTTCTATGTGGAGCCCAGTGTTGTATTTACCTCTTAGTTGCCCTTGCAGCTGCAAACTTGGAATAATTCTAATCTCTAGATAGTATTCACCATCTCTGGTTTCCAGATCTTCTTTCATGCTATAGCTGTAAATTACATTGAGGATTTGTTTACGTTTTGTTGTCTTGGTTTTTGTTCCAGCAGCCACTCTACAGTTTGATAGAGTGTCTTCCTCTCAACTCCTTAGAACCTTTGAGGTTATGTTTCTGACCTTAATGGTATATGGATAGACACCTCTTGCCTAAGAGAATTTTTAATTCATCTGCTGTTCACTCCTTTTTCTGTATTACTGATATCTTCAGTTCTTGCTCTTGATTATTAACTCCAGATTTTGATTCATCAGACATTTGCTTAAATTCAAATATAGCTTGTGCTTAGGTACATTTGAATTTTGCAGTGGAATATGAGTGCCATCGTGTACATGCTTATGTACACATAAATTTGAAACAAGTTGGCTGCATTTAGAAGACAGACAACTCTGGGCTGTTTTTTGTGAAGAAAATAAAGCTTGTAGAGAAGCAAGAATTACCAGAGAAAGAGGAGGGTTGTGATCAGTAGGGTGCATGGAACTGAACTTCACTCTTTATTGTAATCTCTTTTGAAACGGATGGATTATAATAGTAGGGAATATTACTGTCATTACATGGCCACTTCTCAGATACTACTAGGCTGTCTTTTTTGCTGAAGTCAAAGCACGGTTTTCCCATAATTTGCTCACTGCACAATATATTTACCTCAGACTTTCTCTGGGGTATTGTGTTTTTAACTTGCCACAGTGCTGTCCAGAGGTGATGTAAAAAAGTACAAAATATATACACCTTGGTTTTCACACAGAATTTGAGATCAGTTTTTTTTCTTGGTATATGCAAAAAAAGGAAAAGCAGATAATTACAAAAATCCTGAAATATAAGAACTGGGTTTTTTAATATTCCTTTAGTCATTTACTAGATGCACTAGAATCTGATTTCTGTCTTCTAGAATTTTTTTCTTAACTAGAGATGATATTTCTATCATCTCACATTCATGATAACGATTTTAGCAGAGCTGTGCAAACGGAAGTTCACTCAAGAAGAGGAGGTAGTGGTTTCTTATAATGAGAGGGGAGAATGCAGTGGCATTTGGAAGGCAGAGAGAGCATACTTGATCTCTGATTATCAAGGGCAAGAACTAATGGAAGAAGTATAAGCAAGGTTGATTTAGGAATGAATGCAAAAGTCTTAAACATAATGTTAGCTGGAACCAACTATAGGATTAGAATAAAACAAGTGAGAGAGTATAAATGTACCTATCATGTCTCCTGCTTCTCTTACAAAAACCCATCAGCAGATTTTTGTAGCCCAGTCTAGCAATTTGGCAACAGAACTCCCAGCTTCCCATTGTAACATGGCCTTAAATTGTAGTTGTAACACTTAGTAATGCGTAAAATGAGTAATTTAACTAGTCCTGCTTTCTACGTGCACTTGATAAATTTGCCATGTAGCTCTTGTTCTGTTATTGGGAGGAGAAGTGATGTGCCATAAAATACTTTTGTTTAGAGGTTGGTCATCTTATGAAAGTGTTCAGGAAATATTTTTGTCACGGATCATAAGCCAGGAGATATGTATTTGTTTTCATGAGTCTGCTAAAATAAGTGTGCTGTATTTGATCTTACAAGTAGCAAAATGTGATTGTAACAAATTGTGCTGAAATAAATGTAAATATCATTTGTGTTCTGAGATGTATGTGTTTCATTTCAGATAAAGGACATTCTCTCAAAAGTTCAAAATAACCATGTGGGGAAATCACTGCTAACAAAACCTCTGAACTCTGACCAAGTGGTAAAGAAAAGTTTTTTCCATATCTTTTCAGTATTTAACAGGATGGTCAAAATGAATGCAAAGAGCTTCATTTAACTTTGACTATTATACAGTCATTGTTCTATTGCTAAATATTAATACTAAAATTCAGTTGTTAGATATTAACAGTGCTAAGCAGATACTTCCAGAATCAATGTTATAAAGCATACTTTGTGCTGATTCATCCAGTCATTATTAACTTCCAAAACATACTGGAGAGACATACTACTGTAGCATTACATAGATGCTATCTAGTTCACAGTGGTCACCTAAGGATAGACATCTTAGTTGCTGAATGGGGGTTAACTCTAAATTGACTTCTATAACTTCATATATTGGAGTGTTTGAATTTTTTGTTGTAACACTGCAGGAAAGATTGGAAAAAATCAATGATGCTCTTGGCAGTGAGTATGAATGTCGACGCCGTATGTTAATAAAGAGGCTCGATGTGACTGTACAGTCTTTTGGCTGGTCTGATAGAGCAAAGGTAAGCTTGATGTATTTTTTGCTTCCTGTAGGTAGGAGTCTACCCAGGGCTTCCTACAGAATATGCATATCATGTCAGTATGCTTCCATTACTTGTGTCTTTTTTTCCAGCCAGGTTCTCATCCTGCATTGTAATATCCAAGTCCTAGATACCAAGGAAGGCGAAGGATTTGACTAGATGGCATGGTCCATCCTTTGTGACTCTTCATAGCTTCACAATTAGAAGTTCCAGCATCCTCAGTTGGGGTTTCTCACTATAATAAGTTCACATCTCCTTTTTTTCTATATCTACCACTCAAATCTAGTAAACTAGGAGGGAACCTCAGCATTTCTCATGCAGATGCAAAAGGAAGACAAACAAGTCCTTAACATAGACTGGGTCCAAAAAGTGACTGCTCATAAAGTCAGTGAGATTGCAGCAACTGCTACTTATGTTGGGTTTGAAGCTAGTGAATGAACAGCTGGTCAGTTAAGAGTTTATTTGAATAGCAGTTTGTGTGAGAAAAGCACATGGTTACTAGTAATTGTCCAGGTCACTAAAAATTCTAAAGCACTCCTCTGGATTTGTTCTGCTGGTATCATTTTAGTTGTGGTTTTCAGCTTTACTTCTGAAGGTTTGTGTAGACAGCTTAGGATGGGTAAATTTTAAAACAGAAAGTTCACTGTTCACAGATTGTTACAAGTCTTTGTGATATCACAATTTGTCACTAACGTGTGCAGACAGAATCAGCTTCATGAAGCTCACTAAGTGTCACTGGAAGACAAGAATGCAGATGCTGCTGTGATGCTTTGGAATGGCTCACTACTTAATTTCTGCAGGGTTTGTGAATGTCTTTATGCTGCAAGAAAGGAAAAGGGAAGCATTTAGCTCACAGAAACCAGGAGATCTTCGAATTTAAAGTCTATTTTAAAATGTACGTGATGTTAACTGATGACTAACCTGCAGACTAAAATTATAAGTCACTTGCTCTTGTTCCATTCAAGCAATGTGAAAAACAATGAATGCACTTTTGCAATAAAATGGTAGTTTAAAGATACTTTTAATGATGATAAAGGAGTCAGATGATTAATTTTTCTGTCTTTTCAAGACTGTTGATTTGAAATATATGCAGTTACAGATTAGCCAGGTTACATATTATTTTTAAATTGCATATTTTATTTCCTTATTTCTCTTGCAGAAATACCTGTTCATAGCTTCTTCTAGAAGGTTTTGGGGATTGAAAATGTTTTAGCATTGATAGAATTTAGATTTAATTTTGTTTTAAGCCAAGAGGCAAATTGTTGTCCTTCTTAAATTTATTTATCAGCTTGTCTTTTTTTTCCCCCCCACCATTAAACAGGTGTTGATATGTTTCTCCACATGGCATTTTTGTGTTTTGTTAGGTATTTTTAACTTGTTCAGTTCCCAAGAGGGGTAAATTTTCAGGCCGAAATGGGTCCATAAATGGTGTAATAATTAGCAAAACAGTCATGTAAAGGAGCAGTACCTGTTGTCTGGTCTAGGCAAGATCAAATGTGGGTTTTTTTACTCTGAAGATCATTCTAGATGTTCCCAGAAAGTGCATTTATTTGTCTTTTTTGTTAAACAAATGAAACATCAAGGCATGGTGGGAAAAAGACCTTAATTTCTTCCCTTCTCAGTCTCACATTTTGATGATTTTTACAAGTGTTTTGCTGCATTGATATGTTTTCAATTTTTTTCCCACAAATCTACCTTACTTTGAAGCTGCTCAATTTTCATCGCATTTTGAAATGATCTGCTAAATATGGTTGTGTAAAGCCCTTGAAAGAGCAGTGTGGACTCTGAAATTTTAGTCTTTAGACATATTGGAAGACATTAAAGAATCCGTTGCCAGTGGATAGAGAAGTTTCTTTTGTAATGGTGCTAAGTTGCAGCACTTTTTGTGTAATAGGTGCACCAATATGAAGAGAATTGATAACAACTGGCAGTGTATTCTGTAGGATAATCAGTGTATTCAAAAGTTACACCTTGTGTTCAAACTGAAACTTGCTGAGACCAAATACACAGTTTACAGTAAGTGTGTTGTGTGTTTTATGGCTAGCAAATAAGTTGTGTTCAATTCTATCATTTAGGTAAAAACAGATGAAATAGCTCGTATCTATCAGCCCAAGCGCTACGCGTTATCTCCAAAGTCAACCATTACCTTAGCTCACCTTCTTGCTGCTCGAGAAGATTTATCGAAGATCATAAGAACAAGTAGTGGATCAACACGGGAAAATACCATCTGTGCTATCAACAAGGTATGCTGCTTGTTTCTGGGATGTGATGAAAGGACACAGGAGTTTACGCACCTATCAAATGTAATTCTGGAAAATTACTCTTTGCTTAGTATTTTCATTTCATTTTGCAAGATACCTAGTGCTTTAGAAAGGAAGGTTTGCAGTATTCTGTTAAACATTGCAGCATCTTTTTTTTGCATTTCTACTCAGTCGTGCAACAGGGTGAAACAGTAGTCTAGATGAGAACAGTGGTGGGGGGTACACGTGTGTGCACGTGCATATGTGCATGTGTAAAGGACCTCTTGAGTTCAGTGGAACTGCACACCTCCAGATAAGGATACATGTAAGTCTTTCTGGTATCAGTTCCTGAGCCAGGATTGTGTTATTCAGTTTGTAAACCAGTATCTTTACTTCATCGGTGTATTATAAATCACAAAGGTTTCTGTGGAAATGTCATTTTGTTGCAAAGTAAAATGCTTTGGCTACAGTAATTAGTCAACGTTGCACTGCTTTCTTGTGTGTGATAAAAGCTGAAGCTTGCAAGTAATGACATTAGCTTCACCAATCAAATGGTGACTAAACCTGCTTTTATTTATCCTATATTTACAAATTTCTGTAAAGTTCTATGCCTCATTTAAATATTCTTTAATATGTTTTGATCCCAAAGACTGAAACTCCTTAATGATTGTATGATCTTAGAGAAAGTTGGTTTTTTTCTTGAGAGCACTTTAGTTGGAGTGCCCCAGGCACTGTTAACATTCATCACACAGAGTTTAGGACATTAAAAACAACCACAAAAAGACCTACCTGGATACTTCTTTGTTCTTCAACTTAATGTTTTGTGCAACTTTGTCCAGTACAGTCTCCTTTTTGTACACTAATATCCATCATAGTCAAGATCCTTTTTTTTCCCCTTCTCTTTTGTTGGAAGTGTTACTGCAGCCTGTTAGGTATTTTGTCTGCTCTGTCTCTATTGAGTGTCAGTAGTTTCTAATCTGAGACAAACTGCTGTTCCTTTGAGAGCTGCACAACAATTTGGCAGTTTGGTTTTTGCCAGCTGATTAGGTTTGAAGTTTGAAATTTAGGGAGAAGAGCCTTATCATCAGAAGCCTTTTCTATATGATTATATATTTATGTTTTCTTACTACATATGAATGATGTATGTGGCTTATTGCAATATTAATACTTCACATGTGTGTAGTGTGTTTTCATAAAAATTTCACAGAAGTAATATAAGCTAGTTTGCTGCAATTATTTTGGTTTTACAGGTGGAAAATGAGAACACTTTCAGAGTTCTGTTGTGGTGTTACAAGGACAGGAAATAGTGATTCTGCTGTCAAGCACCACACTGAGGGGCTATATTTCCTGAGAAGAGCAGGCAGCATTTCTCTGTCCATAGGAGAAGAACCCTGTGTTTCTTCGAGTAATTATTACTATTTTTTTTACTCTAAAAATGACCTATTTTTCCATACAGGTTCTGATGGGGAGAGTACCTGACCGTGGAGGCAGACCAACAGAGATTGACCCACCTCCTCCTGAAATGCCTCCTTGGCAAAAAAGACAAGAAGGTGGTGGAAGAGGTGGCTGGGGAGGTGGTGGCGGTGGAAGGGGCAACTGGGGAGGTGGAGGGGGTAGAGGAGGAGGAGGTGGAGGTGGAGGTGGTGGTTTCAGAGGTGGTGGGAGAGGTGGAGGTGGTTTCCAGGGTGGAGGTGGTTTCCAAGGCAGAGGTGGTTTCCAGGGTGGCAGGGGAGGTTATGGTGGCAGGGGAGGCTATAGTGATCCATATGGTGGAAGAGGAGGGGGAGGATACCGAAGATACTAAAATACTGTAAATCTAAAGAGAGCAACTGGCAAAACATAGTGGTGGTGTTTACTGGTACTAGGAATTTAGATATGTTGACTTGGGTTTAGGTTAGAATTAAGTATGACCATATGAATCATTGCATTAGACCAACTGATGTTCTCATTGATTCCTTTTAGTTAACTGAACAGAACTTTTGTACTAAAATGTGATGACTAAAGTCCTTGTTTTTCATACTGCTCATATGATGTTTTTTATTATGTCATTTTATTTAAAGTAAGCCTCAGAAAACTGAATAAAACCCTTTCTAAACAAACAAAAATATGTTAGTGTTCAGGCCTCTCTAATTATTGCATGTGGCATGTCTTTTCCCCTGCTCCAAAATGCTGTGTAGGAAAAACAAAATAAGCCTAAGAACCAGGTGAAACCACTTCTAAAAGACTCTAGAATGCTGCTTTCAGGCTTTTTCTTCATCTAGTTTTCATGTGGGATGTGTAAATGAATTTTAATGTCAAATGTCAAAACCCTTAAGGCTAAGGGTTTGGTCAAAATTATTTAATTAGGTTCAATTATTCTTCCAGAACTTCACATTAAAATAATGTTCTGAATTAGTACTCTACATAAACTAATAAAATCAGGGGGTTTTTTTTGTGTTCATAATGTATCAGAGACTATTTGAAGGTCAGAGCATGTACCATAAACTCAGAATCATGGTGAGTTTTGATAGTGTCTTATTTTCATTTTACCTGTTTCGCATTTTATTGGTGTTTCATAAAAACATTTTAAGATCAGGTTGGGCAGAAAACCTGCAGCCATCACGTCTGGTAAGAATTAATTTATATATCCTTCTGAATCAGCCTTGAGACATCAAGTTTGTATGTTCTTTCTTAAGAAGCTTAGCTTATTCAGTTTCTCCCCCCACTCCCTTTTTTTTCCTCCCCTGCCTGGTCTGTGTTTGAGAGTCACCAACTGCCCAGTTAATAAGGCATCACATACAGCACTTGTCAGTCTTTCTCTCTCTTACTCTGCCAACCTAAACCAAACTGTTTTGATATGGTATAGGTGCTTTGTCCCTCATATACAGTGTTATTCTAGAAGGAGGAGTTAACTGCCATACAGTTATGGCAGTAAATATATGTAGACAGGAATTAAATTTAGATCTGCCAGTTAAAGAAGCCAGTTTCTGTTGTCCAGTGTCCTTCCCCTGCTGTGAGACCACTCCTGAGAAGAGATGGAACAAGGAGATGATGCCAGAATATGCACTCAGGACAGCATTTATCAGGTTCAGGTTACAACAGAGATTTGGGAAGACATCTGATTAGCTTGGGGGGGTCTCTTGATTAAATAACATAGAAACGTTGAAACACTTTTAGCTGTAGGCTTAACTACAGGTTGAACTTTAGGATTTGATTCTGGAGTTCTGTTCCACAGTTACAAGTTTTCTGCACAAATTTCTTTATTGGTGTCCATTGGTATGCTTTAAAGATGTATTTTTACCTTCATGAACACACACCCCATGTCCTGTTTCATAGGCAGCTTTATGCATGAATGTAAAGCTCGGTTCAAAGTCATATATTCTCTCTTTCAAAAATCCTGTGCAGTTTTGATTAATTAGCCATCACCACCTTTTAATTTGAAAATTTAATCAAAAGTTTTTCTCCTGTTAGTTCCTCTTTGAACATAGTCTGGTTGAAAATACTGCTTGAGGTGATAGGTAAGGCCCAGGCTTTAGGGTCCTAGCAGGTGCCTGACAAAATGGCACTTTTCCTTGCTTGAACATGTTAGCTTGGATGTGAACTTCTGCAATAATGGCTTAACATCACCCAACTGCTACCAATGTGGTTCCTTTGCCTATTTTTTTATACATTCCTTTCTGGCCTAAGCCATTGGCAGCCTCTGCAGTCTTTCTGGAGAAATCCTCATGGGTCACAGTACTGGTTCTCTTGATTTTGAGCTTGGTTTTTGCCTCTGGAATAGCTCACAAAATGGTGACACACCAAGTGAGACTGATGGCCTTGGAGTGAGTGAAGTGTTGGTCAGCAAAAGAATGGAGAGTGGCTTTTAACAACGAAAGCTTTAAGATAAAATTGTTTGTTCATCCCAGTGTTACTCTTTGCAACAAGTAATTTCCAATCCGCTGTCAAGCATGTAGCTTCACCAAGGAAATACAATAGGAAAAGCAAATGATTTATCTATGCTTAAAGATTTCATTAGACTCAGGATGCAAAGTTGAAGTGGTTTAGTTGAACTGTTATAACTGTGGATGTAGATGTGCCTTGGTGCTCTTACACTCATGAGTTCATCCTGTTTGTAGTAGGCAGAACACTTCTGAATGAAGTAAACCATCAAGTGTACCAGGTATGTGCCACTTGAATTCTAGCAGTTAAATTATTTCAATGTTGTATTACAATTATATTTATTTAGACCATGTAAAAGATGGAAATTTAAATAGGTTGGAGATTTTCTTTTTTAATCTGGCCATTTCAGTTTTTCTTAAGTAATGTCAAGATGTGAAGCCAAGTAAGCACCACCACATTTCATAGAGGTAACCTTTGCTGTCCTCTGTTGTCAGAATGTATGCTTTTAATTTATCAAAAGATGGAATAACACAATGAGCATAATTGATTTAAACCTCAAGTTCTGTCTTTAAAAGAAAAAAAGTATTTGCAAAACTTCTGTTGTAAGTAAAAGATTTTCATATATATGTTTGTGAGCATTTTTGTGTTTATTCGCACTTGGTGAATTACCTACCTGAATATTGTTTTGTTTGATGAAGAACTGAAAAATAGGTTGGGGATTTTTTTCAGGAATCGAGAGAGACACTTTTGTTAAGAGCTGTAAACACTAAGGAATAAAGTACTGTATTTGAAGTTATTTGCATCATTTGTGCAGTGTGATATGT